GTAGAAAGGTTCAAGGCAAGATTAGTGGCCAAAGGGTTTAGTCAAAAGGAGGGTATAGATTATAAGGAAACTTTTTCTCCTGTGGTAAAAATGGTCACAGTAAGAGTCATACTAGCCTTAGTTGTATCTAAAGGGTGGCATATCCATCAAATGGATGTGTATAATGCTTTTTTGAATGGTGACTTAGAGGATGAAATCTATATGACTGTACCTCAGGGTTTTTCCAGTCAGGGGGAGAATAAGAACAAAGTATGCAGACTGGAAAAGTCATTATATAGGCTTAAACAAGCACCAAGACAATGGAATCACAAGTTTGCAGAGGTTCTTCAGAAGAAGTTGGGGTTCAATCAAAGTCAATATGATCATTCTCTATTCACAAGAAGAACAGCTGAAGGGACTACAATAATTCTGGTATATGTTGATGATATTTTAGTAACAAGAAGTAGTTTAAAGCTGGTGGAGAAGACAAAAAAAGACTTACAACAAAGTTTTAAAATGAAGGATCTAGGAGAGTTGAAATACTTTCTTGGAATAGAGTTTGTAAGATCAAACAGTGGAGTTGTTATGCATCAAAGGAAATATGCACTTCAACTCATTTCTGAAGTTGGATTGTCAGGATCAAAGCCAGCTGGAACACCTATGGATGTAAATATAAAGTTGACATCTAGGCAGTATGATGATCAAACAAGTAAGAATCGAGAGGAATCTTTAACAGATCAAGCTTCTTATCAGAAGCTGATTGGGAAACTATTATATCTAAACATGACTAGGCCTGACATTTCCTATAGTGTGCAAACATTGAGTCAATTTCTACATCAACCAAAAAAGTCTCATATGGATGCTGCACTTAGAGTGGTGAAATATATTAAGAGACAGCCAGGGCAAGGTATATTGTTGTCTAGTAAGTGTGGAACTAAAATTACAGCCTACTGTGATGTTGATTGGGTAGCATGTCCTCTTACAAAAAAATTTGTGACTGGGTATGTAATTAAGCTTGGAGAGGAAGGCTAAGAAGCAAACCATTGTGTCAAGAAGTTCAGCTGAAGCTGAGTATAGAAGCTTAGCTTCTACTGTAGCAGAGTTAGTTTGGTTAGTAGGGATGTTGAAAGACTTAAAAGCAGAAATTCAGTTGCTTGTTCAAGTCTATAGTGACAGCAAGTCTGCTATTCAGTTAGCTTCTAATCCAGTGTTTCATGAACGTACTAAACACATCGAAATCGATTGTTATTTTATCAGGGAGAAACTTCAACAATGACTAATCAAGATAGTGTAATTTCAACACAAAACCAGCCTGCTGATCTTTTGACAAAAGGTCTCAACAAACCTCAACTTGATTATCTATTGTCCAAGCTAGGAGTCTTAAACATATTTGCACCTCCTATCTTGAGGGGGAGTATTGAGATAATGGAAAAGAAGAAGGATAGTAAAATAAAAGAGTGTCATTTCAAGAAATTAGTTAGATGTCATTGTCAAGAAGTTAGTTAGGCAGTTAGGAATTTGGAAGTTGATGTATAAATACATAGCTTAGGTCATTATAATGTAATCCCAGAATTCTATTCAAAACTTCATCTTCTTCAAATTTTTCTTCCCGTTTCATCAAAATCTTCAACTAGGTGCTTAGCGATTTATCTTCAAATTTGATTGATGGTAAACAACGTCTTTGTCTTTTAATTCTCGCTCAATATTGAGCGATTTCTAGTGATTTTTTTTCATTTCTCACTCAAAGCTGAGCGATCATGTTTTAATTTTATTTTCATTTTAAAAAAAGTTTGTCCTCATTCACACGAGTACGAGATACCCATACATATAAGAGAAAAGACTTAAATATGCCATCAAACTTTCAGAAAAGGTTCATCTATGCCATTGGTTAAAAGTTTGGATCATCTATGTCATTGCTGTTAAAGAAAAGGCTCATCCATGCCATTTTTTTAACTCCGATTTTGCAAAATCATTTGTTACATCCCAAACAACTTTTAACAAATTTCAATTGAAATTTTTGGATCAAATGTACTATTTTTGTTTGTTCTTCCTAAGAACACCAAGAACACATAAAGAACATTAACAATTTTCAAATTTCAAACTTCTTTAATTCTTCACGAAATTGCCTCAAATTTCAAGAGTAGTTTCTCTCCGAGATAGATTCAAAACTCAATATCTTTTGAGTGCAAATTCAACCTCACTCAATAAGACCCACTTGAAATTTCTTCAAAGTTTCAAAACATCAAACATTCTTTAATGGTAGAATTTTCTCCACAACTTCAAATCATTTGAAATTTTGAACATAGACTCAAAAAACAGTAGGGAACAAAGATCTAATGTCAAACACAACTACAAAAACATGAATAGTAGCAATTTTTTGAAATTTTAGGACTGATTTTTGTTTTTTGGAAAAAAAAAATTTAATACGGGTGAATTTTTTAAACTCTACAAATGATTTTAGAATTTTGATTTTTTTAAAAAAAGAATAAATGATGTAGCCGGAATTTAAGATAATTTCGTGAAGAATTGAACATGTTGAAAATTTGAGAGTTGTTTATGTTCTTCATGTGTTCTTAAGAAAGAACAAACAAAAAGAGTACATTTGATCCAAATGAGCGATTTTTGCTCTATTTTAATTTCTCGCTCCATTGTGAGTGATTCTCCTTATTTATTACTCCCTCCGTTTCATAAAGAATGACCTGGTTTGACTTGGCACGGAGTTTAAGTAAATAAAGAAGACTTTTGAATCTTGTGGTCCTAAATTAAAGTTATGTCAAATGTACAAAATTGCCCTTAATCTTGTGGTCTTAAACATGCCACGTGGAAAGCAAAAAGTAAAATGTTACCAAAAAAGGAAAGAGGTCATTCTTTTTGAAACTGACTAAAAAGGAAAGGAGGTCATTCTTTGTGAAACGGAGGGAGTATTATTTTTAGTTTCTGGCTTCACACTGAGCGATTTTTCTCTCAACTTTTATGAATATACGCCAAACTAATAGGATAGGGATATATTTGGGGTTCTGGTTCATGAATCATCATTCAAAAAGTCTAGACTACCAATATAGTATAGATCATATGAATAATAAACTAAGTGGTTGGAAAGCTCAATTTCTAACCTTAGTGGGGAGGTCTACTCTTATCAAATCAATTTTATCCACTATCCCTACCTATGTTAAGCTATGCAATCTCCTTCCCCAATCAACTCGGAACCACATAGATCGCATCCAAAGAAATTTCATTTGGGGATCATCAGAAAAAAGAAAGCTTCATTTAGCAAGTTGGGAACTAGTAACATCCCCTACTAATAAAGTTATAAAGGAGGATAAGGACTCCAAAATAAATACCAATGGAAAAAATTGGGCTCTCTTGGCAAGCCTAAATTGGAAATTAATTACAAAAAAAGGATCAACTTTAGAATAAAGTTCTCACAAAAAATATATATGGATAGATGCCTTACTCCCCACATTAACTATCAATCTTACGACTCCTATATTTGGAAAAACATTGCTAAAACCTCTTGGTTTTTCCGTAAAGGACTATCGTGGAATGTAGGATGCGGTACCAAAATTCAACTTTGGGAGGATAACTGGATCGAAGGAAACTACCCCCTCCGACAAGCTTTACAAGGACCCTTAAATATATCAGACCAACATCTCTTTGTAAAGCAAGTACTTCATAATAGCACTTGGGTTTTTTCATTACTATCCTTTGAAATTCCCGAAAACATTAAGGAAAGTATTCAGAATACTTACATTCAACAATACATTAATAATAATAATGGTGGTACATGAGGAATATAAAGAGATCATCTAATAAGCTAAAATTTCTCTTATTGACGAATCTTTCGAACAAAATACTACTAATGGTGGTACATGAGGAATATTAAGAGATCATCTAGGTAAATGGATTCTGGGGTTCTCTTGCAAAGTTAATGTGACAAATGCCCATCATGCAGAGCTCCTAGCTCTACTTCATGGCCTGACCTTGGCAAAAAGATTAAAAATTAGTCTGACTGTAAGTGGAAACTGACTCACAGATATTAATCAATAACATAAATAGCAATACACGCATATACTCACTAACTCACATATTTATGATGATTGCAGATCACTGCTGAAACAAATGGAGGAAACATCATGGAGCACATATTGCGGGAGGCTAACTCGATAGCAGATCTACTAGCAATATACCAAAAGAAATCAAATGATCCGAATATGGGAAATAGGCAACCCCTTGTTTTTGAAGCATCACCTTTGCTTATAGCCTTCACCCTTGAAAGAGATGCTATAGGAACTACATCTTTTAGATTAGATAAACCTATTATTATTATTATTATTATTATTAAATATATAAAATCCTTTTGTTATTAAAAAAAAAAAAAAAACGGTTGAAAGAGCAAAGCCTTAAAAGGGCATTGAAGACACAATGAATTCCAGGCAATTCATTTCAAGAAATTGATGTTGGTAACTGCTATAGTTTTACCAAAGAGAATATTTATTTATAAGATAATTAGAAAGATATTAACACCAAATTTATATCCATTCATTTTTATAAGTCGCCTTTTTAGATTGTACTTGCATTAAGAAATTAAGTAACTTTATCCTTCTATCATTATTTAATGTTTTCTTAAGTCAACTTTTCAATAAATGATGACTATGCTAGATTTCAAAAATTAAAATGCATTTGGATGACTATTTAAATTTTTGAGTTTATTTTCAAAATCAGATTTTATAGAATAGTGAATGGAGAGAGTAATTAATCAATGTATGAAGTACTCCAATGAATATTAATTACTTATTAATTTTCTTAGGTTGGTCAAAGTATATATTTTCAAGACTAATTAACTACTCTATCAAGCGTATAATAGGAAGAGTATGGTAATTTATGCATTGATTTTATGAAATGACAAATATTATGGTCCAATTATTTGTAGAAATGAATGACATATATAAATGAACGGAGGAAGTAATAAATATAGATAATCATATGAATACTAGTATTATTTTTTCAACATTTATTACGTACTATTTTTCTACTGATGTTGAATTAGATAGAAGATCTGCCGCAGCCACAATAATACTACCAAAAATCCCCATCCTCTCATTGTCCTTTGTAAGAGTAGAGGCATAAGCATAACCTATTATTCTCTGAAACTCATTTTCACAATAAAAATTAGCTTTCTGGGCAAAGTTTCCAGCAACATACACGCGATTATATACTAAGCCATCCTTCAGAAAATTCTCCTCCGCGCCTCTTAGAGAATTAATTGCATAATGGTAATAATCCAAACAATAATTATATATCACTTTCAAGTTATTATCGTTTGTCTCATCTAAAAAGATAGCAATCTTACTGGCTGTCTCAGACGCGTTTCTCAATGCTAAGTTGATGGCCTCTTGTGTTAACTCATAAGGACTCCTATGAGGATTTAGGCCAAAAACTTGCAAGCAAAATCTAGGATTCTTGGATTTGATGCACACTTTGGTCAAGGGGTTACTTTTACTTGGTATCATTAAGGAAGCAATGATTAGACATAAGACTAGTGTTAAGACAAAGGAAGAAGAAGATGATGATGTTGTCATTGTCTTGTGTTTGCTCATTTCCCCTTTTTTATTGTTAAATTTGAAGTAATTTTATAGGAGTGAATATATGTGATTGTGTGTAGTAATGTGTGATCTAAATTATCAATAATTTGATTAAATTTCTCTATATGTTTAATTTTATGCCATGTTTAGACTTTCCATGTTACTTCCCAAAATTTTATGGTGTATTAATATTTTTAGTTTTAGATTTATGATATTTGTTTATTTTGGTATGTTATATATGAATCCTAAAATTTAAAAATTGAATTACCTAAATCTACTATATGCAATTTGACCAATATAGACTTCCTTTAATAAGTTACTTGTGTTGGATCAATCTAAGGGTTCAAAATCGAAAAAGTAAACACACCAATATCTACATATAAACATAAAATATAATTTTAATCATGTATAAATAATATAATTTTCCATCGAAAATGATTCGAATGAACCCCTGACCCTGGCTCTACCCCTGGATCTCATCAATTAGTAAAAAAAATAGAAAACTACTGTAGCTAATTGAAGAAAAGTAAAAGAACAAAATTAAAACATTAAAATTACCGGAAAAACTAATGTAACAAATCATCTTCCTTTTATTAGAATTCTTTTTCATGCAAATGACTTTTATTACATACTATTTTTTTGTCGATGTCGAATTAGTTAGAATATCTGCCGCACCCATAATAATACTACCAAAAATCCACAAATTCTTGTTGTCCTTGGTAAGAGTGGATACATAAACATGATTGGGAATTTTTCGAAATTTATTTTCACAATAAGAACCAACGTCTTTGACAAAATTTCCAATAATGCTCAAAGTATCATATTTACCATGCTTTAACAAGTACTCCTCCACACCTCTTAAAAGCTCAATAGAAGATTCATAATAATTCAAACAATAATCATATATCTCTTTCAAGTTTTCGTCTTTTGTCTGATCTAGAAATGTGTGAATCTTTTTTACTGTCTTGGTGGCGTTTGTAAATGTTAAGTTGATTGCCTCTAGTGTCAACGCGTAAGGTCTCCTATGAGGATTCAGGCCAAAAACTTGCAAGCAAAATCTTGGACTCTTGCATTTGATGCACATATCAGACAAGTAGTTACTTGTACTTGGTGATATTAAGGAAACAAAAATTAGACACAAGACTAGTGTTGAGCCAAAGGAAAAAGAAGAAGGTATTGCCATTGTGTTGTTTTTAGCTTGTTTTCCCCTTTTGATTCCTTTATTTGTACTAATAAATTTTAATTGAATGTAATTTCATGATGATTGTGTGCAATATAATAATGTGTGAGAGAATATTGTTCATTATTTTTATTAATTTCTTGCCTTCTTTAATTTCTTCTCTCCTTATTACTATACTCGTTGTTCCTTTTTATGTGTCAACTTTTGACTTGGCGTACTTATTAAGAAAATATTTATTGATATAGTGAGTTTACCATTTTACCCATATTAATTAATAGGATTTCAAATATATTTCTTCACTATATTTTTTAAAGACATTAATTTAATGTTAATAAATTGAGGGTATAATAAAAAAAAAATTATCCTTTCTTGATTTGTCAAAAATGACAAATAAAAAGGTATTGAAAAAAATAATTTCTAATATCTCAAAAAAAATAAAATCATATAATATTATTTTTATTCATTCTATTAAATGAGTCTTGATTTCTTTTCTTATCCCCTAAATTATCTTTAAAGTTAGTCAAATACGTCAAATATATACTCTAGTTGTTGGAATGTCTCTTTTGACGAAAATTAATTGTCTTCGATGTATTTGATGACATTCATCCTTATACTCTTAAATTGTTATTTCTGAGACGTTATATTAGTCATGTGTTCTTGTGTAGAGTGGGTGGGAAAAAAAGTGAGAAAATCCTATCGTTTTCTTCTTATTTTCAATAAAAGGGACATTAAATTAGAAAATATTTGACAAATAAATAGAAACGAAAAGTGTATTTTTCTTGCCTTAATAATTTCATTTATCATTGTTACTGTTAATTTCTTTTTCTAAAATCCTTCTCTAATGGCCTATTCTTTATCGTTATATATTGACATAAGTTCTGCCTAGGTAAGCATATTGTATGAACTATTGGTATACTATACTATATACACTAGTAAATTTGTCTGTGCTTCACGTGTTCGTGTAAAATATCAATGAACTTATAAAATAAAATCAACAAATTATCAAAATAAACTTATTCGTAATATAATAATACTCCCCTATTTTAATTTATGTGATGTTTTTTCTTTTATTGAGAGTCAATTTGTCACATTTTTTAAATTAAGTTGAATTGAATTAAATTAATATTTATAAATTAAAATTTAGTAAATTAATATATTCAAAGGGTAACATAGTAATATTATCTCTATTATTTATTTTTTCTAAAAATGTGTGTCAAGTCAATAATGAACAATTATTATAGAAAAGGAAGAGTAAGTTATTATTGATAAAACAAAGTCAGAGACAACGAAAAGAAAATAAATGATGCACAGTACACTTGGTATTTGTAAAATCTATTTAATACTATTCCCTCTTTCCATTTTTAATTGTTATGGACTTATGGTATTATTTTTAGAGTCAAACGATAAGAATTTTAATTAACACTTTACGATGTATTTTTTTATCATATTGATATGCAAAAAATTACAATTCATAGTACTTTTCGTATAGTTTTTGAATATCTAAATTTTTTGTTTAAAATATCAAATTAATGTAATCTAATTTAACTTTGATAATTAATCAAATTGACTTTTGAAAAGCGCAACATGACAATTAAAAGTGGACGGTGGGAGTATATAATACTCCCTCCGTCCAACAACAGTTGTCCACTATACTATTTTAGGATGTCCAACAATACTTGTCCACTTTATGAAATCATGGATAATTTTACTTTTAGTTCCTAATGTACCCTTATCATTAATTATAGTCATTTCCCTATTACATTTTTCAAGACATTGTATTTATTATATTCAAAGGGTGATATAGTAAGATTATCCTTATATTTATAGTTTCTTAAGACGTGTGCAAAGTCAATAATGGACAAGTATTGTTGGACAGAGGGAGAATGTGTTTATTAAACAAATTTGTAGAGTATTATTTAACTATGATTAGAGTTTGTTTGACATTGTTGTTGGGAGGCCAAAAACACTTATTTTGATGGGAAAAATATTTTTTGAAAAATTAAGGTGTTTGGATAATTAAAACTGCTTTGGAAGTAAAAACAGTTTTTCTACGGTTCGCAAGAAGCTAAAAAATTCTGTTTCTTAAAAAAAGTAAAAGTAGAAGTAAAAAATTATTTATTTCAAGACCAAATAATCTCTATCATATATACATATTTATGATCAATATGTCCCTTGTATTTATTTATTTTTGTGATGGATTTAATTTGTGAAATAATTTTAAATTTATTTTGCTTGATAATTTTAATTATATTTAAATCATCATATTAATGTCCTGTCAATAATTTTTTTATTTTTTTATTCATCTATATGTAATATTGATTGAAAAATTGAATATGTATAGTTTAATTTATTAAAAATAAAAATTTAATTAAAACATTTATAATAGATATTTAAAATAATTTATGTCTATAAATAATCTTAATATTAAAAGTGCATTGATACTTGTCCATTTTCATAATTTGACTCTCAAAAGTATTTCTTAAAAAGATTACCCAAACACAATTTGCTTATCAAAAACATTTTTCAAATAAATTAACCAAACACCAATTTATTTATTTTTGTTTTGCAAAAATACTTTTCCAAAAATCTATTTTAAAAAAATATTTTAAAAAAAAAAAAACAGTTTTTAGCAAAAATGCAGACATACTCTTAATCAAAGAAAAGAGCTAGAAATGGCAGATCTCACCTTAAAAAAATCTTGAATTGATCAAATTAATTGGCAAATTGAATTACTGATCGATTATATTAATAGATCTGAATGTGTTGCTAAAATATTTGTTGAAAATATTTACTTACCAATCTAAATTCGTGTTTTTTTTGGAGGGGGAGGGGGATGTTTATAAAAAATGAGTTATCTTTAATTACGTTTATTTGTGAAGTTCATGTTGTTTATATGACATAAAAAAATTAATTTAATTTGCCATATCAGATATTTTAATGATAAATTTGACCTAGTTATTCTATATGATAAAAAGTCTTTAATGGTAAATTTGATTCAATGACTTTGCATGGTAAAAAGTCTTTAATGATAAACTTGACTGAGTAATTTTGTACGATAAAATTTAAAAGTTGTTAATGATCAATTTGACTTAAGCGAATTTGTAGGATAAAAGGCCTTAAATTATATGTAAAATAAAATTTAATAACTTTATTACATAATTAAGGGACCTTTTTAACATATTAACTCTTATTTTACGCGTACAGGTCCTTATGAGCAAATAACATGTTCCATCATTATGAGATATTCTAAAAAAAAATTCATTTAATTTAGATTGGAATATACTTTAAAATTTGGACAAGAAAATACGTCTTCTGATCCTTTCTATAGTTTAGATTAAAATATTTCCCAAAATATTAGAAAATCCGCATAAGAAAAATATCTCCTGATATTAATTTTGAAGTTATACCTTTTCTCCTACATTATTTTCATTTTTTTCCTAATTAAGTTTGCTTATAGATAGATTCAGTACCATTTAAAAGAAGTTATAAAAAATAAATGAATTATATCAATGAATATATGGGACTAAGTATTCCAAGAGTAATGTTTTTACATTTAAAATGAGGAGAAACATCGATTTTCAAACGAGTTCATGAGGAGTTTTGAGTACTATCTCTTTTAAGAGAAATTTTTTGAGTAATAATCTCAAAGTTTGAGGATGAGGAAATGTTTTTAAACATATGAGTTGAGTTATATTATTGGGAGTAGTACTGAGCACCGACATGGGGACGAGTTCAAATAACTCAAAGTCCTCATAAACCATGTAGCCAACGTGGGTAGAAAGGGTCATACTTTTTAGATAATTCCTTAGTGCTTTTT